CCTGAAAATATTTGCACTTGTTTCTGACTCAGCCTGTGTAATGGAGAAACATGCTTATGATCTCCCCTTATATGTTAACAGATGTATATAAATGTTTATTAAACATATTTTTAACGGTAAAAATGTACGGTCATTTGAACTACGCGGTACGGTAAATCAATTTTGAGAAGTTGGCAACCCTGGCTGAGCGTCTAAAGTCTAAAAGCGCTTAGCGTTTTCTTACAGAATTCGTGCCCTGATTAAAATCGAAAAAATCGATTTAATTTTTATTTTATTTTATGTACCCTGTTTGGGAAGATGTTCGCGCCCTGTTGCGAAGATGTACAAAAGTACTACAGTGTAAATTCCGCTCTTGTTAGGAACATATTCTAAACGAACGTACTTCATACACACATACGTTTCTATAACCGAAAAGTTTTCGCGGTTTTGTTTTACCTAGATGCACCCGACCGTAAAGAATAAACGCTGCCAGACTCCTCTTGGATAATCCCCCCTAACGAGCACGGAGTTGTAAATTCGAACAGCAATATTAACCAAATAGTGATTTATCACGATCTAAATCCAGAGATCCACCGCGGGCGGCAACGTTGGACTCTAGCCATAAATCGTACAGCACCGGCTCCCCACCATTTTGTTTTATACAAGACTGTGTTCTTTGAGTGGCAATTATTTAGGCGTATATCTAACGTAACATAACATACCTTTAGGGTTTTTATCCTCTGGAGATGGCAATACTACCGATATCTTCGTTTGGATAGAGGGTGTGTTTGACATGCGCTTTTAGGGTCGGTTGGTCAATGCTATTATGTAAAGTTGGGCTAAAAAGCGAATGGATCACGTTTATATTCTACATGTGGCAGTGATTTTTTGTAGCATTTGAGTATTTTGATTTGTTGTTTTGGCAAATATCATGAATTTTGTTGTATTAAGGTTCATATTTAAGCCATAATGGATACTTGTTTCATACACTTTTTGGACCATTCGATGTCATATGGGAAAGCGGAGAGGTATCTCAGGATTTTTGCAACGCGAATATAGTGAATATATTTAAGAACAAAGGAAGTGCATCAGACTGCGGAAATTACCGGGGAATTTCACTATTGGCTATCGGAGGAAAAATTCTTGCAAAAATTATGTCAAATCGCCTTCACCCACATATAGAAAGAATCCTTCCAGAATCGCAAACGGGTTTTCGCACCAACCGTGGCACCGTCGATTCCATATTTTCCATCCGCCAACTACAGGAAAAAGTAAAAGAGCAGCAGTCTAAACTTTATGTTGCATTCATCGATCTAACAAAAGCCTTCGACTCTGTGAACAGAGATGCACTTTGGGCAATTATGAAAAAGTTCGGAGTACCCAACAAATTTCTTACAGTATGTAAAAGCCTCCATAACAACAACCAATCAAGAGTGTCACATCATAGATCACTGAGCGATCCCTTCCTGACTAATACAGGAGTTAGGCAGGGATGTGTCTTAGCGCCTCTGCTATTCAACATATTCATGACAGCGCTCTCCATTATAGTGGACAGCAAACTGCAGGAGAGAGGATTGGGCATTAGATACAGATGCTGATGACTGCGCTATAGTTGCAAACACGTTACAATAATTACAAGAAATGTTGAACACATATACCTGGGCATACGAGGCTTTGGGCCTTAAGCTAAACATCGACAAAACCAAAATTATGTGCACTCCCCCGGAAGATCATAACAATGCTGTAAAAATCGGAGAGGAACTATTGGAATATGTAGCGGAATTTAATTACCTCGGCAGTTTGATTTCGGAAAAGGCCAATATCGACTCTGAAATTCAGCACAGGATTAGCAGCGCCTCAAGAGCATTCTGGAAATTAAAAGACAGGGTTTTCTACAATCATGACTTGAGTACAAAAACGAAACTGGCAGTGCAGAAACTGGCAGAACCGAGCAATTATAATCCCCACCATGTTATATGGGAGCGAAACCTGGGTGCCGTACCGCCGACACATGAAGGCATTAAACAAGTTGCAACAGAGACACCTTAGACAACTCTTAAGAATCTGGTGGTTCCATCATGTCTCAAACGCATCGGTCCTTGAAAAAGCTAACTGCTAGAGTATTGAAGTCATGGTTACAAAATCCCGCTTAAGATGGGCTGGTCACGTATGCAGAATGCAAGAAAGCCGCATACCAAAATCTCTGCGTTACGGTGAGCTTGTAGACGGTAAGAGGAGACCGGGTGGACAACTCAAAAGGTACGAGGACATTTTCCACGAAAACTTAGAGGGAATTAACATGCAGAATCATTGGAAAGAAGCAGTTCACAATAGAACTCAATGGAGAAAAACCGTAAACTCAGTTAACAGCGACAACAAAAAAGTAAAGAGGCAACAAAGCAATGAGATTTTTGAATGTCCGGAGTGCGGTAGGAAAATAACATCACGTATCGGGCTTTTCAGTCACAGAAAAACTCATGAAAGAAAACGCCTTGCGTGACCATCTTTTGATGCGTGTCGAATACTCGTCAGCGAGTAATGGCAGTATGTATGTATGTATGGACCATTCGTTGCAGGTCCTTTACTTTAGGTCCTATTATACTTTCGTAGTAGTAAGTAGTACATTATGTTAAATAGTACATTATTAGTACTTAGCTTAATAACAAAAAGCTTTATAGAGAGTCTGTAGTATCTTTGTTGACCATAATGCGACATTGCTTTAATAATTCAAGTACACTTTCCCCTCAAAACTGAAAGGAATAGTTACCCTACCCTGCAAATTCTGATTAGGCAATTATAAAGTTTTATTGCTCGATTTTACCCAATGTTGAGAGGAATTGTCAGTACCAGAGAGAGTTTTGCGTGATACTAATTGAACATTTTGTCGGCAAAAATGCAGAATGCTCTTGTTCTGGTCCGTCTGGTCGTGTGGAGAGATGCAATTTTCGAAATAAAACGAAGCACGTACGCTCCCAAACGAAATTACAGTGTGTTTCCCTATAATTTCCCTGGACGATACGACGCTGAAAAAGTCAAAATACGAATCGTTCATTCGAATATTCATGGCTCCTTTGCTTTTGAAGCGACGCCGACGGATTGTATTGTTCTGGTTATTAGGCGTATTAGGGTGATGGGTTATTATTACGTTTTCTGGATAAAGCGGTTGTAATTATCAAATGTCAGAAATGCTCCATTCAGTATGTCCAGGGATTGTCTTTACAAGAGGTCACAAAAGTATTAGTTTTTGCGGCGTGATTGACAATATAAAAAGTCATTTTAGGCATAAAAGTAAAGCACTTTTAAGCCTCAGCATAAAAGTACAAAAAAATATTATTAAACTGTCAAATTTAAAATTGTCAGATTCAATGAACGTACCTTGCAAAATAAAAACACTAAATCACCACAATACACCAAAACACTTTTACTTTTACACTGGACGCGCGTTTCGCTAACCATGTTTGCATCATCAGCAGATGATTATAAACTGAACGCACCTTACTATAGTTTATAAGTGCATATATTTTTAGGGGTAGTATATTTCGACCCCAGAAACACGATTATGAGGTTTTTTCACAAAAAAAAAATTGAAAATTTGGAATTTTTTGAAAAAAAAATTGGAAATTTTTTAAGGTTTATACATAATTTATTGATAATATGGCAACATAGGTAGTAGATTAAATTTACAAGAAATAAAATCCAGAAAAGATTCAGAGGTACTGAAAATTTTAGCAAAAAGATATATTTGTTTAAATTTTCTTAACCCGGTAATTTTGGATTTATTTGAAAAACGGTAAAGAGAAAATATGTTTCTTTTATCGAGATCTACCAGCCCTGAAATTTGCACTTACTTAAGACTCACCCTGTATAATTGCATACAAGGTATTACTTTCAAATCTTTTTATACATGGTCACTGTTATGTATGGAAACGGTCAATTGCTAGGTAAAATATAGGAGGTACCCAAGAACGGTAAACTAATAGGATTGTTCATCCTCAGAAGACGTACGGTTCGCCTCTTCCCGCGCTTTGGCTGACAGTTGTGACGTCATTGTAGTCCTTGTCATTATAGTGTGTATTACTGGTTGCCTAAGGTAATCTTATAAAAATAATAGCTCAGAAATGTTGAGTTAATTATTATGTCGATTTTAAATAAATATGAAAAAGTTTTTAGAGCTAAAGAGTGTATAAATACGTTCATTTTGTGTTGTGGATTGTGACTAAGTGCCTACGATATTATTTATTAATTATTTTAAAGCAAACTATGAAGTACTCTAAAAAGAATGCCTGCAAAAGGTGATGCTGGGAACTGCTGTGTTCTTAAAAATTCATTATCCGAGTATTTAATACGATTTATACAGTTAATTTTCTATACTGCATACATATAAGGTGTTTAAATAAATAAACTAAATAATGAATGTTTTGCATACGGCAACCAATAATACACACACTCTCATGACAAGGACTACAATGACGTCACAAAGCGAGGAGTTTTTGCATACACCTGGCAGATACTTTCGGCTGAATGAGCAGTCCTATTAGGTTAACTGTTCTTGGGAGGTACCGCCAAAAGTTATCGGATTTTTAAGTATCTATTAGCGAGTAATAAATTTAAATATACAGGGTCGGTCATAAAGTCGTGGCACATAAAAGTTTTACTAACCAAACCAAACGAAGATTTTGTAATCTACAGACTTGATATAATCTCATTTTATACATCTATAAATGCTCACTTGAGAACTAATGTCATATATTATAAAGTCGCTAAAGCTTAACTTTTTCTACTAATTGAAAATGACTACCATTAATTTTGACGTTCTGAATGCTTACATTGAAATTAAAAGAACAAATTTTCACGCTAATTAAAGCCACTAGTTTATTAAACTAATTGCGAGGTTCTAAATGACGTTTTATCATTGTTCTCAATTTAGTAGTTCATTCAGTGTTTTTATCGTTTGTTTCAATTAAAGATCAATGGAATCCAAAAAAAAAATACTAATTAGTGCTATAAAGCTGTCCACTCACCTGAAAAATAACTCCTCTCGAAAGTATTCTCCGCTCTCCTCAGACGTTGTTATAACGAACCGGAATTTTTTCACCGATCGGCAACCTGCAATTAATTAATTAAAGCTTAATTTAGGGCACTCTCCGCTATCGGCTTAATAATTTATCGGCCCTAAACTAGAGCGGTTATGATAATTTTATTTACCGGTTTATGGGGCGACCCGCCCTACCGCGGTGCATATTTTAAAGACGAAAACTTTGCAAGCGCCCCAATAGACCAAATTTATAACTTCCCCTTTTTTCCCAGTTCGGTAATAGAGCGTTTATTTGGGGTTTTATTGGGTAATTTTCAGAGTTAGGGTTTTAGAATATTCAGGTGGTAAAAGGACGCTGGAACTATTAAGAAGTGATTTAATGTTTAACTATTCATAAGATTGCAGTAATAAACAGTCTAAATTAATTACTTTATTTCACAAGACTATACAGGGTGCTACAAATTCGAGGTACAGGCAAACGTAATAGATACGAACATGGTTAAATTTGGGCAAAGTTGCCTTGGGATGTTCACCAAGATGCCATCAAAAAAGTTTTAAAAATTTCAAGGAGCTGAGTTTTTTGAAAAAAAAAACATATTTTTTTGAAAATCAATTTTAAATTCTTATTTAATACGGACCTGCATTTTTTATATCAGGTTTTGAAAGAACTCGGTCTTCTAAGTACAGGGTGTCCCACTAAGAATAGCTCTCGGCTGTATCTCGGAAAGTATTAGCAGTAGGATTTACGGAAAAAATATTTATAACTAAAGGGGATATAAGAAATTGCTGGAAATTATTTTCAAGTTTGTAAAACGGCCACAACTGCTATGGAAAATAAGAAAATAGAATTTTTACAGAATTTTACCTAGATAATGGGTACTATAAATAATAGCTTCATAATCTTCAATAAATTTTGGATTTTTTTTTATTAGAACCATTTTCCCCTATATGCTAAAATAAAGTGGTAGGGGAAGGTTAGATCTATCTTTATATAAATGTTAATAACTCCGGACTGGATGATCAGAATCCAACAAACGAGGGCTCGTTTAAAAGAGCGTTTTCTTACTCTATATTATATCATAAAACTAATAATAATAAGGTTTTGAACGTAGACGCTAGGGGGCGCTTTCTTACAATTTAACACACATAGCGCATTTTTTCAAAAAAATTAAATACGATAGTATATGTTATTTTAGCTGATAGTAAAGAGTAGTAAAAACCTAAAAAGTCAGCGAAAACCGCATCTTCATATCTTCTTTCAAACCGAAAATATTAACAAAATTATAATAAATACCAAAAAATAAGCTTTTAATTACCTTATTTCTACAACACTGTATTAGTAGACCTCTTGATTATGCCATTCTAACAAAAAAATAAGATAGAAACAATTAGTTTATTTTAAAATCGACAAAATACCAAAATACCAGATGTATTAATATCTAATAATTAAGATATTAACAACAGTGAACAAGAAACGATGATTCAGTGAAGTCATGGTAGGCTTTGGAAAAAAGTTGCTTTTGACCTAATAGTATAAACGTCAAATTATTATTAGATCAACATTTTGATTAGTCCTAGCGGCGTTTTTTATCTTTTAATTGCTTTTCCAAAATGCCTTTATTATTTTAAAGTAGTTGAAGTTGTTAGTAGGCAAAATTTCTATTTTCTTATTTTCCATAGCAGTTGCGCCCTCTAGCGGCCATTTTACAAACTTGAAAATAATTTGCAGCAATTTCTAATAGGCTCTTTAGTTATAAATATTTTTTTCCGTAGGCGCTACGGCTAGGACTTTCCGAGATACAGCCGAGAGCTATTCTTAGTGTGACATCCTGTACAATGCCACACTTTATAATTTTTTTTGTTTCGGACATTTGAACACAATTTATTTAAACTAATTTCAAGTCCAGCTCTGTTTTTTTTTGATATTTAATCTATTCATCGTTTCAATATTGATAAGCCATCCAACTTAACAATGACGTGGAGTAAAACATTGAATACGGCAAATCAAATACAATAAAAAATAGAAAATAATAGAAAATAGATAATATAAATATAAAATAATGTAAATAATCAAATAATTTCCCCAGAAGATGGATTGGTCATGATAGAGCAGTATAGTGGCTAGGGGGGGGTGGGGCATTGACATCATTTGTAAAAATGAAATCAATATTTTTTAACATTTACAATAAAGAGTAGAAAATACATTCGGAAGTAAAAGAAGAAGATATATTTAAAGAGGAATAAATAAAATTGAACGAATAATAAATTTGTGCAATAGAGAGCGTAGTAACCCTTTCGAACATGTAGAGCATTAGAAACTAGTGTGTAGAAGTTGATTTATTTGTAATAACTACGATTAATATTATGCATATTATTAAATCGTACAATGAAATTTTAAATTCATAATAAAAAAAAGTTAAAATAATATCTTTAAATTGCTGACCTGGATATTATTTGTAGTATATCATTGTACTCAAGAGACCGAGTTCTTTCAAAATCTAGAATAAAAAAGGCAGGCCTGTATTTAATAAAATTAAGTTGGGCTCTGCATGTATCTCACAAATTATCAGCTAATTTGAAAAACTAAAAACACTATCAGATAGCCCTAATAAAGTGGTTATGAAAATGTTCAATTAGTTTTTTGATTTTCTAAAAAGTAATAACAGGAAAAAATAAAATTGCTTTTCAAAAAAATCCGTTTTTTTTTTCAAAAAACTCAGCAATCCTTGAAATTTTTAAAACTTTTTTGATGGCATCCCAAGGTGCAACTTTGCCTTAATTTAACTATTTTCGTATCTATTACGGTTTCCGTGATACCAATGCGCGTACCTCGAATTTGTAGCACCCGTATAATAATAAAAATAAATATTTATTTCAGACTATATTGTTTCCATTATTTTTTCGTCAAATTTATCAATACATCAATTTCACTCCCAATTGAGAACATACAAAAAAACAAACGAAAAAAACACTTCCTCTTCCGGTCAGCCACACCAAAAAACCGGCCAAATTCATCAACAATTTATCATTCCCCTTCAACCTGGACTTTTTCCCTGTACGATTGCGGCCGTATCAAAGACCTTATCCCGGACCCGAAATCCCTAAAATCCCCAGGGAATAGTAGCTAGTTTATAATTTAGGTGTTGGGAATCTGCGAAGGTTGTAACTTCGTTGAGGTTGGGTGTTTTTTGTCGCCTGTAGGTAGTAACGTGATATACTATATTAGAGACCGTGTAATCCTTTATTTAGGGCTTTCAGTTACATCGTTTAGTTGTGATTCTCGCTTTGTTTTTTGACTGTTTTAAGTTTTAGTGGAAATAGTCTTGTTTTAAGCTATACAGAGTGAGTCTTCAATAAATGCAAATATTTTCAGGGCTGGTAGATATCGGGTAGATAGTTCAAATAAGTCCAAAATAACCGAGATATTTTACTTTAAAAATAATAAAAAAAATATATAATCTTTTGCTTAAATTTTAAGAACACTGGATATTTTTTGGATTTTCTTTCTTGCAAATTTTTGTATGTTTCTTGTTTTGTAAGTAAAGTTTAAAAAAAAAATCCAAATTTTCAAAGTTCTTTTCGCGAAAAAAACCTCTTATGGTGCGTTTAGATTTGAGCACGCACGCACTGATCCTCCGCGAATGCTCAAGTGTAAACGGCTGTGCGCGCAAGCTCACTCTGAATCTGTCTGTGCGCGAGCAGCCGCGAACGTGAGCCTTCTGGTGTCGGTTTTTGGTCCGTGCTCAAAGGGATTTTATGTGTGCGCGAACGCTCAGTTTGCACCGGCAATTTGTTTTGTCTGCGTTGGTGCGTGCGTGTGTGATTTTTTTTTTCGTTTTCTTTATTAAAATTATGGAGTGGATCAATGAATCTTCGTTATTATTAATTGAAGAATATGAAAAGTTGCCTATATTATGGGATGTTAAACATTCTTTGTATTATTAAAATATCAAAAAAAAAACGCATAGTACCTTGTAAATAAAATTAATATTGAATATGTCGATATCAATGAAATTGCTATTCTAAAATTTGTATCTTTTGTTCGTAATTTTTGGTGTTATTAAATTTTGTAAATATTCAAAGTCGGACCTGGTCATTCTTGAAAAGTTTTTGAACTTATCATAGCCCTCCTCAGATACTAAGTTGTTGCAGTAAATTATATCGAAATTATATCGATTTCTAAAAATTTGGGTTTGCCACCAGCGACGATGTTTTCGATTTTTCTTCTTTTTAATAATTAAGCTGTGCATAACAATGACTGCAGCCTCGACTATTTCTTGGTCGTCCATTATTTTCGCCAACACAACTCTGCTGTGCGCGCACAAATAGATCACTTCATTCGTCGAAAAATAAGCTTTTAATTTGAACGGAGCCGAGAGCGCGAACGAATGCCGTGCGCCCACGCTCAGCTCGTGCGTGCTCAAGTCTAAACGCACCATTAGACATTTTTATTCTCATGTTTCTGGGATCGAAATATACTACCCCAAAATTTAAAAAAAAAATATTTGCTCTTATTTAGGACCCACCTTGTATAATGGACTAATTTGTTTTTTTTTTGTACTAAGAATTTCATGCTGATACATAATTGACATCATAATTAGTCTTGCGAATATATACAGGGTGAGTCTTAATTAAGTGCAAATATTTTCAGGGTTGATGGATCTCGATAAAAGAAACATATTTTCTCTGTACCGTTTTTTAAATAACTCCAAAATAACTGAGTTATTCAAGTTTAAAAATTAAAAAATATATTTATTTTTAAAGCCGTAACCATGGTAATATCAGTGATTAAGAAATTATACCGTGGAACAATTTGCAGTGAACAGGCAATTCTAAAAAGTTTTCTAAAATATACAAAAAACTTTAAATGAAAATGCACGATTTTCAACATTTTTTTGGGGGGGAAAACTGATAAACGTGTTCCTGGGGTCGAAATTTCTACCTCTTAAAATATTTGCACTTATTTAAGACTCACCCTGTATATTTATAACAATACAGTTTAATTTTAGATCATATTTAATCAATAAGTATTTACCAGTAATAGCTTAAAGAGTTTCACTAAATCAAAATT